GCCAAAGCATGGCAATCTCCCCCACCCGTTCCCCCCCCCCCTCTTGGTTATGCGCGCTATGGTTGTTGGGGGTGGTGGCGGGGTGCTGAGGGGGGGGGGGAGGTGAGTTTCGTGCTTGGGGACTTCCGTGATGCGCACTTTTTTTCAGGGGGGGATGTTGATGGCGATTGTTATGTCGGTTGCCTTCCGGGGCGGGGGTCCTTCGCCGCCGAAATGGACGAAGGGTGGCGAGAAGACGGGTGGCGGGGTCACTGGTCATCGCCAGTCTACCCCGCGACCTTTGGCCTTCTGTGTTGCTGTCCGCGATGAGGCCCGCGACACCATCGTTTTCATGGGAGGGCGATGGACTTGTCGTTTAACAGTGTCGGGTACTGCTCGCTCGTCCCCGTCCACGAAGCAGGAGTGTGTGTTTATAAGCATGCGGCTGTCCTTGCGAAATGAACGATCGGGCTCCAAACGCGCGCAACAAGGCACACACGTCGACCTTCTAGCTATCTTGCCTTCGCCTCCTCCTGCCTCCACTCCCCGCTTGTTCTTTTTTGCGGCACGAAGGCAGTCTCATGCCGCGCTCCGCCGTCGTCGACGATCTGCGCATTCCGACGGGATTGATGTGACATCGCGCGCCACGAAGGACACTCGACGTCAGTTCTCGCCATCCTCGCGTTCGCCGCCTTCATCGTCTTTGTCGCCGCTTTCATCGCCTTTCTCTCCATTCTCGCCGCCTTCATTGCCTTTCTCGCCATCCTCGCGTTCGTCGCCTTCATCGCCTTTCTCGCCGCCTCCATCGCCTTTCTCGCCATCCTCGCCGCCTTCATCGCCTTTCTCGCCGCCTTCATCGCCTTTCTCGCCATCCTCGCCGCCTTCATCGCCTTTCTCGCCATCCTCGCCGCCTTCATCGCCTTTCTCGCCATCTTCGCGCCCGTCGCCATCTTACCCGTTGTCACCTCGATCTCGCCTGTCGCGTTGCCAAGTCGCCACGTCGCCGCCACATCCGTCTTGGGCCATGTGAACTTCATCGCCTCGTTGTTCGACCGTGGAGTGCTCACCTCTGTTTCTTCCTCGCCAACGCCGTCGTCGCCACCATCGCCACGTTCGCAGTCTATCCCGCCGTCACCGTTGTCCTGTTCGTCGCCGATACGGGCCATCGTCCAGAACGTCTTCCAGGCCGTCAACGACAGCGACGACATCATCGCCACACCCGTCATCGCAGCGGAGACGACCATCACAATCTGTTGCAGGACACTTTTCACCGTCGACGCAGAGATCTTCAGTTGGCGGCTGGCCTACCTTGAAGTTGGTGTGTCGCGCGTCTTGTCGTCCCGCGGTTCTGGACGTGCCAAGTCCGCAAGGAAACTGGCAGTTGAAGCGGCTATCCGGGAGAGAAAGGGCCGCCACGTCGCCAACAAACAAAGAAAACTCGTCCAAGGCGCCTCCCCGCTTCCGAAGTTTGTCGAGGATGACGAGTGGGTGGCGTCACAGGTCGAAAGCGACTTCTTGGAAGAGGAGGAAGTGTCGTTGAAGCGGAAGTCTGCGAGGAGAGGAAGTGGAGCCCTCCGGATCGATGATGTCGGTGAGAGACGAGGCGGAGGAGGGCGTGCAATGATGGAAGACGTCATCGACATCAATGCTGCGGCGGCATCCGGGCGAGGCGGGGGAAGCCGTCGGCCAACAACATCGCGCGGCAGTGGCACGTGCGAACGAAGCCCTGGAAGTGCAAGAGGTTGTCGTCTGCGCGCAAACACCAGCAACCCCGAGGGCGACGACCTCTATAGACATTGGCGTCAACGTGCAAGCCGTCAGTCAGGGGAGCAAGAGCCGCTCTCCTGCGCAGGAGCAGCACGGGGTTGCATCAGGGGGGGCTGCGGTGCGAGGGCAGGCGGGGCCGCAGCGGGTGGGGCTCTTCACGCGCCGGAAGGGGCAAGGGCAGCCGGGGCCGCGGCGGCGGGGGCTTCACAAGCAGCTGAAGGAGCGAGGGCGGGCGGGGCGAGGGCAGGCAGGGTTCCACAGGCGGGGGAAGGGGCGAGGGCAGGCGATGTTGCAGCACAAGGGGAGGACGACGAAGCGCTGGTGAACAGGGTGCGTCAGCAGAATGCGCGGGATGGAATCGAGGCGTTGTCGAAGGTGTGGGTGGACGACATCCGCGTCTGGAACGAAACGAAAGGGAACGCCATTGTGAAGTTGATGTAGGAAGCGCGCGTGTATCTTGTTGCGGTGGCGAGGGGAGTGCAGCCTCCAGCATTGCGTCGAACCATCGTCTTGCCTCATACAACCATCCCGCAGCACAAAATCAACGACGAATCGGAGTTGAACGACACGACAGGGTCTCCGACTCCCATCTCTGTCACCCGAGGGGATGACAAGACCCAGCACTTCTTCGATCAGACGGTCAGTCACCGACCTCCCTTTCTTCCTCACTCTCGAGCCGACTGATCGTCCCCTGGCGTCTCGTTGCCACCGCCCCTCTGCACATTTCGATGTGATGGAGACGAGGTACGACTTCATTCTCGGTACTCCGTGGTCTCGTCCGTTCCGCAGCACCAAGGTCGATTGGGCGACCAACACTCTCGTTCTCAAAACGAAGTGTGGACAGACGTATTGCGTACCTTTCATAGGTACCACTGCGACACCACGTCCCCACCCTCCTCCCCCGGAGCCTTCTGTGTCCACACCATCTCCTACTATCACCGTCACCTCGCCTCGGCAGTTTGCTCACTTCATCCGACAGGACGACGTCACCTTCTTTACGATGAACGTTACGGATCTCTTGCACTATGATCCACCCTGTCTCGACGCCGAGCTCATCTCTCTGGAGCCAGATCCTCCTTCTATCTTTATGGCTCCTTCCCTCCCTCCGTCGTCCATCGAGCCACCCCGTCGTCGCGCGCTAACGCTGACGCTGAGGAGCTCACACGTGATACGGATGACCTGAAACCCGAAGTTCGTGACCCCATTCGAGAGTATCACGACGTTTTCCCATCGTCGTTCTCATACGCCGGCATCCCACCGATGCGTGACGTCGAGCACTCCATTCAGCTGGTGCCTAACTATCGTGTTCACCACCAGGCACCCTACAGACTCTCGATCCCTGAGGCCACCGAACTCAAACGTCAGCTTGAGGAGCTCCTGAGACTGGGTTTCATTAAACACAGCAACTCCCCGTGGGGTGCACCCGTCCTCTTTGCTCGCACAGCGGATGGAACTCTCCGTCTCTACATCGACTATCGCGGCCTCAACCGCTACACGGTTAAGAACAACTACCCCATGCTTTGTTCCGACGAGCTGTTCGACCGCCTAGCAAGCAACCGCTTCTTTACGAAGATTGATCTTCGTAGCGGTTACCATCAGATCCGCGTCGCTGCAGCGGACCAGCCGAAGAGAGCGTTCCGATCGAGCTTCGGCCACTACGAGTTTACGGTGATGCCATTCGGCCTCACCAACGCACCCGCTATCTTCCAGAGGGCGATGAACGACATCTTCAAGGACATCCTAAAGCAGTACGGTACAAAGTGGCCTTTTGGCAATTAAGTCGGAGGCAATTAACGATACTAAAGCAGGCTGCGTCCGCCTACCTCTGGCGAGGGGACCATGAATACACCACGTGTATCAGGAGGGTGGCATGATCACACAACCACGAGCCAAGGAGGGGTTAGGCATAATCGACCCGGAGAATGAAACAAAAGCGTTGATTTTTAAGTTCCTAATAAGATGGTTGTTAGGCAATGATATCCCCTGGGCACCATATGCAACCATCCAAATCTCTACCCTGACCCCACAATGCACAAATAGCAACCGAGTCCATCCGGTGCAATGACTAACTAACAAGCATTGGTCGCTCCCGGCACCCCCCCGAAACAGAAGGGATGACACGCCCGCCTCCACTGCCAAATGAGACCTTAAGGCCGACCCCCTATGGATAGATATGCGGCGTCTATGGAGAGAACGAGGACCAGTGTCGGTGCGAATACCCTTACAAGGGTATCCGCACCGGTTTTTGCAGGAGACAGGGATTTGGGTCGATCCGGAATTTTTGGAAAGACAGCGCGAGACACGGCAGTTTGCTTACTGAAGGTTTGGCTAAAATGTTTTAGAGAGTGCGTGAGCGCGCAGGTTTAAGGTGCGCGTGATTTCCTCTCTTTGATCACGGTTATGAAACCGGCGCGGATGCCGGTCGTTTTGTGTTATTATGAATATAATTAAACCAGGATTTGGAAATACAATTTTACTTTTCTTTTGTTTAGTACGATTGACGGCTCGGTGAGCATATATAGATATATGGCGGATCCAGATGATGGGAGCTGATGGATACGGCTAAGTAGGGACAGCCGCGACACGGTCGGTAGGCCGGCGCGGACTTTCGGTGGTCGTGCGCATAGGCGTAGGCTGAGGAATGGCGCAGGGCGCTTTCGCGGCCCTGAACGACCGCGCCGTATCACTTTATATGGAGTTTCGGGCTTAGTTGTTACAGGCTTGGGCTTAGCCCTATAGGTTACGGCATCGGACTACTACTACAGAGGTTCGGGGATCGAGGCCAGCGGACGCCGGCGCGACAGCTGCAGTGGAGCATCGAGGAGGGAACCGACGGGGTTGAGGGCCGCCGGGCTATCCCCCTCGATTTTTGTTAACGGGTGTGGCGGCGGGCCCGATCCGCGGGACTGGTGAGGTGCCAACAGCCCCGCTGTTCCCTGACAATTCTATGTTTAGCTCTGTTTTATTTTAAATTTTTATTTTCCTGATTTTTATTTTTGGTCTCTTTTATCGCGTCCTGTTCGGGGACACGAGACGGCGGTAGGGTCGCATGGGGGTGTGTTGTATTCGTGGGGTTGCCTGAAGTGCAATTACAAACTTGTTCCGCGGCTGCACCGGGGCCACGCCCCGTTTTGCCTTCGGACGCGGCGCCGTGGGTGGGACGCGAAATGGTGGAGAGTGCTGGACCCAAGAGCCTAGCTCAATGAGTACGCGCCATAAACTGTTGAAATACAGACCTGTCTCCGAGCCCAGATGATGGAACTCGATGAGTAAAACCAAATGTTCTGGGTTGCCTGGGCCTGCTCAGCCCTCGAAGTGTCGCGGGGCATGGCCAGGGCTAAGTCCTTCGGGACATCTGTTAAAATTGGAACGATACGGAAAAGATTAGCATGCCCTCTGCGGGCGCATCCTCCGCCAACCGTGGCCTGTCATAGGAGGTTTGAGTGTGAGTATGCCCATTAGGGCCGGCAATAGGCAGACAGTAATGGGGAACATGCGGGAGCTGCGCCCACTTGTAGGTGCGACACATGCGACAGCAGGTGGGCGGTACCGGCCATGGGTCAGCCGGTAGCATTAGGACCGAGCTTCTTCGAAGAGGCCGGACGCTGTGCCTCCCCTCTGGTCCCCTCCCCTAATGAGCACCAGGGGGTTTCTGTTGAATGCCGCTTGGGAGGATTACGCCTAGACGTGATAGGCACGGCACACACAGTAGGCCTGGGGCAAGACGGAGTCGGAGGAGACTGTGGGGAAGCGGTAGTGCCCATTGCTCGTCGGACTTGGGTATAGGTGGTGAGAAACTAAAGCCGACTGGGAGTGGCTGGTCCAATACGAAGTTCCCACCGGGGTAGCTGGGGCTGTCGAACAGTTTGTCGGATTGCCGTGAGGTCTACCACGCCCGGGCGCAGCTGCAGAGACAAGGCGTGCGCAAGGAGAAGGGCGCGGGGCGGAGTAACTGGGACGCTGCGCTAAGCAGCAGCGGGCGAGGCAGACAGTGGGGCGGACGGGCATGCCGGGATGCATCAGATGCTGTCGGACCGAGGAGAGAAGAGGCGCGAAAGAGGAAAGACGGGGCACTTAGGCAGAATGAGGGCGAAGGAGGCAAATGCAGTGGGCAGCGGGCAGAATCGGAGCGGAGCGCAGAGCTACAGAGAGAAGCAAAGGCAGCACGTATGTCAGAAACGAATGAATCTGACCTGGAATCGCGCCGGGTGCAGCCGAAGTGAAAGATGAGAAATGGCGGAGAGGAAGAGTGATTTCCTCACTCGCTCCTCCTTCGATTCGGGCGAGGTAGGATAGTGGATAGAGGTTCTGATGTTAGGCGAATCAGATGGGAGTGTTAGTTTTAGTAAAGAGTTAGTAGAACGGGAGGTCGATAAGAAATGGTCCGCGCAGAGCTATGGAAGCAACGGGAAGAAGGAGAGGGAAAATAGACATATCCCGCCCGATTCTTGATGGATTCGGGCGAGGTGAAGTGTTAGTCGGGGGGTTTTAGATAGGGCGAATCAATTGGTGATGTTAGTTTTGGAAGAGGGTTAGTGATATGGGAGTTGTTAGAAAAAGGTGGTGCAAAGCCATGGCGGACGAGGGAGGTGGTGACGAGGGTAGAAAGCTTGATTTTGGCTGTTTCTTGATGGAAACGGGCACGGGAGGACTCTAACTAGGGGTTTTCCGGGACGACGATCCCGATTTTGTAGTTAGTACGGGTAGTAGGTTAGTAAAATAGAAGCTAGACGAAGAAGCTGGTGCGTGGAGGCGCCGGGAAAGGTGGAAATGGTGGGAGTAGAAGATCGAGACCTCATTCGAATCTTAATGAAATCGAGGGAGGGGAGATTCGTTCCCGGGGTTTTGAGTCCGGGCGACTCGATTAGTAGTGTTAGATTTCGGAGTTAGTAAGAGGAGTGATCAGTAGAAGTGCTATGAGCTACGTCTAGGGGAGGGGGAGTGACTTCAAAAAACAAAAATAAAGAACGTAATGAATCTGTCCACATTTTAGGGGAAGATTCGTTCTTATTTTTGTAGGTATAGAGGCAGGAAGCTGCGCAAAGTGTTAAGTGAAAGTTGGCAGAGAGAGAGAGAGAGAGAGAGAGAGAGAGAGAGAGAGAGAGAGAGAGAGAGAGACTCACTTGACGACTAGAGCGGGTCAGGTACATCGAGGTGTGGGCCGTCCGGTTCGGGATGTCTGTGTTGCCTGAAGGTGATAACGGGAGTTGTCGGGATAACCTCCTGGTTCAGGGGGTGGTGGGAACCGGCAGTCTGAAGGGTTCAGTCGTGATGTGAGGAGGTAAGGTGCCGAGTTGTGCAGAGCGGGGCAAAAGCTGCCAAGCGGAGCAGCAGCAAGACCAGCCATTAGGTGCAGGGGCGGAAAGTTGTCAGCACTAAGATGGACTGAGACAACCCGCCAGTGGCCAAACAACGCGGATACCAGGCTTGGGTATGAGCTCGACGGGAATTGAAGCCGTGGGGAGTGATGCCAGAGATTGGGCTTGCCTGTGCTGCAGCTTCTGACATCGCGGTTGCTGCACATCCTCCGTTGTAAAGACTGCC